GAATGATACAATTCAAAAAACCGATAAGGGGCTGGGGTTGTAGTCGTAGCACCACACTGTGGTTTTCATTTCCACTGACACGACCATACATTAACATTTTAAAAAAACTAATTCCTCAACTATTTCAAAAAATGGGTAGCGGCCAATCTTCTCCACTGAATTACCCAAAAGGAAAAATCGTGTCGACCCTGTCGATACTTACACATGTTGACCCCTTAGACATGGGCCTGGCACATTGGCCCTATGCGTTTAATTTTTTACGTATATTTACAGCTGTAGGGTTCTCGAGAATCCTTGCTTGTGGAATCGGGAATCACAAATACTGGGATTCCGAGCAAGATCGTATACATAATTGGCTAAATGTGAAGTAGATGAATACAACTATATAAATCGAGTGCAAAAAATAAAACAAACTACAACAATTCACGATTTACGTGGTTCACTCCATAGGACTATATCTGTGGCCTCGGCAAGTCAAAATCTACTATTACAATAAATAATACAATTTTGGGTTACAAGAGATAATACATCTATCTAAATATCGGTACAAAATCATCACCGATCTTCCCTTTTAAACCTGCTCTCCCAATCGAGCAACACTGTCAATAAATATTTTTCTTCCCACCGCAACATTATTTCTGGAAATAGAACTTCAAGAGCAACCAAGAAACTTTCTCTCTCTAAAAGTGAAAACTAAATCAACCCAAAACTCTATGAGAATACCGCCTCTATCTAACATATCATGTCTTTCTCTTTTAGAGACCCATATCCTCTTTAGAGATCCATTCCTATAACTCCTACCCCCAAAGCGGTGACCCTAAAAAAAGATAGGTATTAGGTCTCCATTGACTCTTTTTTATAGATCATTTTTTTGTTTTTTAAAAAAATCCATTTTTTTTTTACAACAATATTAGTGATCCTTTGAAAAAAAAATGCTATTACCAAACCCAACAAGAAAATGTGAGTTTATGGTGATTTGGCTATGACCAAACCCAACAAGAACGTTTCTAATATTAAGGCACCGGGTGTTGATAACTTGTTATATGAAGCACCCATTCATGGGGATTGAAATCAATAAGGCAATACGAAAAGCATTAAACAACACGCCATTAATTTGAAACAGTCTTTATTGGGGATTTTTTTTTTTGAGTAATTCAATGGGCAGTATACTACCAAACGCCATCAAGGTAAGTATTAAGCCATTAATGTGGATGCATTATTTCATGGAAGATTGTTTCACGAGTCGGAGGATGCATTGCTACATTTCCAAGGCATAAAGCATTTATTTTAAATTCGGAGGATGCATTGCTACAGTTCCAAGGTATACAGCATTTGTTTTAAAAATAAATGGGCAGTCCATCTAAAAGCAGATCATACTAATGGTCTATATGTTCTCCTTATAAAACTATTTTTTTAATTTTTAAAAATTATTTATTTTTTCCATATTCATGATCTCCATGTTATGTCTTTAGAAATTTGATAAAAAAATCCACCTCAAAAATTGATTTTTAAGAGGCAAAATTTTTCTATGTGGACTCATAGAAACCATGTCCTTATTTTATTGATTACATGCTAACCAAAATAAAAATAAAATAAGTTTACAACGTAATACTAAAAAGAGAGGTCCTCTTTAACAAAATAAGATTTGTTTTTGGAAAGTGCCTGTTTTGCACGCCCTTACCCTCTCAAGAGAGAAGAGAGGGCACATGAGGAGTGCAGGCAAGAGGGGACGTGCGTTACTACATGCTGGGCCTTCTTCCAAAGTCAAGGCCCGAATGCACTTCCCTACCAGAGGGTCAAGGCCCGAATACACTTCCCTACCAGAGGGATAGACCACGCGGGTGCCGTAAACAGTTGGAGAACATCAGGGAGGAATGCCGTTACTAGGTCGCAAGTGATAGCATCTCTGAATATCTGCAGAGAACACTTCGTATATTGATCTATCAAAGGATATACAACACTAGCATAAATGTGCAGCTTATGGATAAATACCACCTAAACTTATTATAATCAAGAGATGCCTATCACACATTATCGAGACATATGTCCATATGTATATATATTAATACTGATATGTATCCATACTGATGCATATCCATACTAATAGCAAGGCAGATGGTAGAGAGCAGCACGCTTAAGCAGAAGCAGCGTGATCCAGTATGTTCAGGTTCTCCCATACATCTGTAACATTCTTCCCCAGTATTGCTCCAAGGTAAACAACAATCAACCATCTCTCTCTCTTTCTTCTTACAAGAAATGAAGAGAAATATGTGTTAATTATGAAGTGGAACATTTGCTGATGTGGTGTTTGATTTATGTGTGTGAATGAGTTCATCCAAATGGGGATTGCCAATTTAACTGAGAGAGAAAGAAAGGATCTCAGTTCATGTCAATGTCAGGAGGCAATGAAGGATTTCGTTTTTGCATTTCTTGTAGCAAAGAGTAAAGGGCGGGGTTTCTATAAGCTTACCTCGTACTGTAGAAGTAAGGGCGCACCTATGAAATTTACTTAGGGATGTCGTTTCAGCGTCGAAAATCTTTTGATGGCTTCAAAATATCTTTTTGTCCTCAGTTGTAAAATATAAAATTTAAAAAATAGTACAGATCGAGCAGATCAAGAAACACTTAAAAATTTTGAAAATACACTATCAAAACAACTTGTTACAAGATACACTATGTTTTGAACTTTGAATTCTTCATGTCCATTCATCTCAAGGTATAGACATCTCAAGGTCGAGATAATAAGTTGGAAGGTTCTCCGATGCCGGGACAATTTTCACTGTTGGATTTTTGAGGTGCACCTTACTTCAACAGTATAAGGTTACAACTTTATATAAACTCTTTCCAAAGAGTAAAAGGAGGCCAATGATTCAGTAATGAAGGATAAGACCCATCATCCAAACTACCGCTTCCTAGATAGTACTGAATTCCTTCGAGATCCAAATATTGAGCGTAGAAAGGTCCGCTTGAAGTGTTGCTAGCTATTTTTCTTTTTTCCTTTGAAAAAGAAGATTGGTAAAAGGTGAGGTTTGTATCAGTTTGCAATCTTAAACCATCAAAGTAAGATACACCTCCAAATTTTATCATAATATGCAATTTTGGTATGAAAAAATTATTAGAAATGGCTGAGAATCTATCTTCATCTCTAATTATAAAACTTCAAACTTATAAAGTGGTTCAAATCAAATAGATTCATAAACACATAAAAATATTGAAAATAGACAGTCAAGAAAATATGATCCACTATGCACTATTTTAGTGACTTAATTGTTTTAAAAATTTCATACATCTTGATGTCAAGATAATCAATTAGAGAGGTTTCCAATATCAAACAACTTTCTTCGATATTTGTTTGATATCTTAGATATTTGTTTGAGGTACACCTCGATTCTACATTATAAGATTGCAACATTATATAAGCGTTTACCAATAACCTAGGTTTGGCTCTTTTAATAGGGATAAGCATTTACAATAAATGGTTCTTTTTCATTTCCCTTACCACTAAAGCCAGAACCCTGCTATTGGTGGCTTTTTACCGGTAATTGAAGTTCGGCTTTTACCGGTAACCGAAGTTCCATTTCCAGATCTGTGCCGGTAAGTGTTGCGCAAATAGTGGCACACGGGCACCATTAGGACATCTTTATCGGTCCACGGAAAATTGGTCCATCAAACACGGCCATAGGCCATAGATACTCCTGCTACAGACCAATTGAGTAGGATATACAAAGTCTGCAAATCTATGAAAATTCATACTAGGCAACTGCAATGTTGGGACAACAAGAACAAAAAATCCGTAATTTATCATCATCGTCGTAGCTTTTTTTTCTTAGTCCTTTATTTTGCTCTAACAAATGCCATAAGTTCAGTGGGGCCAAAAATCTCGAAAAAGCATAATTTATGAAGGACCATTTTCTTATATATTCTTTTGAAAAAAACAAAAAACGCAGATGAACATCATCATCGTAATCCCTCTCTCTCTCTCAATAATAATTAGACATACTAGTGCATCGCCAAAACTAGAAGCTGCCCATAAGTGAAGCATTTGCTATTCTTTACTTTAATATGTAACTAAATTAGGAAAGAAGTAAATATACAACCATCTTGATAACGCCATCTTTTTTTCGGTGTACTATTCGATCTCAACAGAAACCCTCAAGTTTTGGACCTAGAAGTTCACAGAGTTCATGTGAGAGATTTCATCAGATATCTGCAAACTTGTGACAATGGCTAATTGGTACAGCAATTCTCCATGGTTATAGAATGCTGACCATAAGTGAAGCATTTGCTATTCTTTACTTTAATATGTAACTAAATTAGGAACTATTCGATCTCAACAGAAACCCTCAAGTTTTGCACCTAGAAGTTCACAGAGTTCATGTGAGAGATTTCATCAGATATCTGCAAACTTGTGACCATGGCTAATTGGTACAGCAATTCTCCATGGTTATAGAATGCAACCTCATTTACAGCGTTCATGCTTTTGGCATCTTTCGAAGATTCAGCACAATTCTATAGCCATTGGACTTTTAGAGCCCCAAATGGATATGCAGTCCTCAGGTGATACACCCAAGATTTCATATACCCATAAAAGAACTACTGCACTGCTTGAGCCAAATTAAATCAAGATTTGAAATCCAGGTTTGAACATTCAACTCAATGAAAAATTCACATCAATGAAGGTTCCCTGTTGGCTACATTTCCTTAAGATCTCTAAACTTGTTACTCTTACACAAACCCACTAAAAAATGGTTGCACACATGAAATTCCAACGCTCCTGTTAAACTTCACAAAGATGCATGACAGGGTATAGGATTTCTATCTAACAATACATAATACAATAATAGTTGCACTAGAATTAACCATGACTCACTAGTTAATATTCAATTCCAATCAGGGTAGTAAAGATAGTGGCATTCCTGAGTTCTTCTTACATATAGATTTTAAGTTATATCATCTATCAAACGGATCACACAAATAATCAACTATTACCTTTGTTAGTATAGTACAAAATGTTCCCACAAGTTTTTGGGCCACATTTCTTTGGGTAAGCAGGCGCATATTATTCTCAGAGGTCAGAAGATAAGACACAATATCAAGCGTCTATCAAAAACCCCCAAATCCGTAAAATAATGACACAACGGAAAGCACAGACAACATTCCTAGAAAAAATTACAAATAATGACATTTGGAGCTTCTATTTTACACATACAAAAATTTCACAAATACATACAAACAGACACACACATACAGAGGAAGGAAGAGAGAGAGATAGAGAGAGAGAGAGGTCCTTCTCTCTCCTTCATGGAGGTCACGTCTACCTCTGCACAAAGAGAGCAACTCCAACAAGGCCTATCCAGGCAGCGAGAGCTACCCACAAAACTTGGTTGCTTTCCCACCCAGCTGGAGGACGCCACACCAAGAAGTCTGCAAGGTAGTCTCTACTTGAAGTAATTTGGCTAGTCCTGTTAACCCCTCTCCACTGATCTTGGTTCTTGTATTTGTCACTCCATGTTCCTGCATAGCTGCAAGTTTCGCATATGCACAATGAGACACTGAGGAAAACTATGCATCAAGTAATGCAAAATTCAGAACTTCATTGACTCAGTAATGCTAGAGATTAAGATTTTTTTTATTTTTACTTCTTTTTTTATTATTATTGGTTAAAACTATGAGTTTAATTGAACAGGTTAATTTGGTCCAATTAGAACTTTAAAGAAGCATGTGGAAGGTGGTAAAAACTCTCTCTCTCTCTCTCTCTCTCTGGTTATCAATTTGTCATTTGAAGGAAACTCATTTCCTTATATAGAGTGTATAGGCGCTCTCTCTCTCTGGTTATCGATTTGTCATTTGAAAGAGACTCATTTCCTTATATAGAGTGTATAAGCGCCCGTCTAAACAAAGGTAAGTGCCCGCTCATTGTGAGTTTCCATAGAAGAGACATGTCTTCTCACAATTAACAATGACTTCTATTGATAGTCACACCCATTCATGAAAATAATTCACCCACCATCATCGCAATTCATGGCAGTTGCCAAAAACCGAACAATCACATAATTTCACACCATTTGGACCTTTAACTAGATAAAAATTGTCATCTCATCCAAAAAAGGCAACGCACAAAAGTGCAACCGCACACGTGCATGCTAAGGGCTCCTCTTGCGCCGATGCAAGCATGCACAGTGCAAAGTTGCCTCACCCTTGTGCCACCCTTGCACACGAGCACATCAATTTAAGCAAAAATATCACAGAAGACAAACACTCCAAGAATAGAACGAGAATGAAAGACAGGCAGAAGTTCCAGTTCATTTATCTGAATTGATGCTGCAGATGAACTGTGCATCTCTCCACTTCCCCAACATTATGTAACACTAATCATAAAAGGGGCTTATAATGCAAAGATGGTTAAGTCATAGAGGTAGACAGGAGTGCTAACATAATATCTACACAAATGCCCTAGCTTTTTCACAGCTTGTTCACTTTTTAAGGGTATTTGCATCAATTGTGACAGCACAAGCGATATCACTAAAGGTCAAAATTTCATTAATGAACTACTATGATACTCTTTTCAAAACTACCCTTCACAATTAGTGCATCACCTTTGTCCTTACAAAGTGCTGTAAACACCTTAAAAAGTAAGCTATACTTTCCTAGTAAATGTACCGTTGACACCTTTGTGATAACCTCTCCATGACTCAACCATGCTGACATTATTAAATCTCATCACTAAAACTGAAACCATCACGATCACATCCATCAAATATTCACTGCATGAATTCAACATGACTTGCAAAACCCCAACAGAGAAGATGAGAAAATAAAAGACTTGGTCCATTCTGTATTCTTTATTCGAAAAGGATGCTCCAAGCTTTATCTTGTTTTAAATACTGGAATATGGAAGTACAAGACAAACTTCAATGACTTAGATAAGTCTGTCAATGAGATGCGTGTGGGTGTGGCATGTACTCCAATTTTTAACTCAAGAGCAAAATGGCAATAAAGTATAAGAAAATATGGGTGTTAATATCACCTGTCATAACTAGATCCAATCAAAGGAATTCTGACCATTTCATCCTCTGAGATTTTGAGCTTGGGTGCTTGTAAAATATAGCGCAATTCAGCAGCCTGTCTTCTGATGCTAACACTGGGATGCTTCTTCTCCAACTGTTGATACAACGCGATGCAATCTGCATGCCTATTTTTGGCTTCATAGGCCATGGCAAGCCATATTTGTATCTGACAATACAGAAACATGTGATGTTACTCTCTCCAGAGAATGGCACGCACATGTGGCAACAAATGGCTTGTATCATTCTTGTATGCATGGATATGTTCCAATAGATGGTTCAGATTTTGATTTTATTTGAATCCACATTTCAAATTTGAGAATGAATGTTATTCCGTGAATATATATTTCATAATACAGAAGACACCCCAAAAAAAAAAGGGGGGGGCAAATTCATTTCTCTACAGTGTATCAAAGATGTATGCAAACTGAAAAATCAAATGGTTATTTCAGCCTATCAGGAACATCAACAGATTCGACAAAACTACCTCGAAACCATAACAACCTAATATACCAAATGAGCATTACATATTTTTAATCCACAATTATGCCGTGCCCGTTATAGTTTTGGCACTAGATAAGTGCAATTAAAAAGAAAAAAACAATTAGTATAAATATCTGAAAGTAGTCGGCGAAAGTATAAAGGTCCAATCCACACCCATGTACATGGGATATTTATTTTTTTTTTGATAATTAACATCAGCATTTAAATATAGTATAAATTGAAGTAAATGAAGATAGACTTTAGCTCATTTATGTTGATCATGGGCAGATGTAAAAGTGAATAAAGGTGATGTTTTGACTGACCTCTCCACCGAAGAGTGTAGGCCTTGGAATAATGGTGAGGGCACCTTCAAGAAACTCAATGGCTCGACCATACATTCCCCTTCCATAAGCCTTCTGGCCCAGATCGAACATCAGCTTCGCCATTTGTCTTTGCTCTGCTTGCTCCTTCGCAACCTTCTCTCATAAGCCGAAAACATACCACATCTGTTATTGCCTCCCAAAGTGTTTCGTACTTTGTGAGCAATAGATAGGTACATAAAGCATGAGGCAGACAGCCCAAAGAACTATCACAGTATTTTCCTAACAGGGTTTTCATCTATCCTCGAGAATGCACTTTTATACTGTTCAATGATTTTGCTCACCATGTTTAATTACAGCAAGACATGCATAATATAATGTATTTCCTTGTAATGCACAATATAGCTCATTCTTTAATGATCCACAAACTAATAAAATGTTTTGCTACATCTGTGATAGGAATTTCAGAAAACTGACTGTATATTACAGGCAAACCAGTCAAGCTAGATGAAAGATGGATAGATTCCTTTCAAATTCACAAAGATGCAATGTTTATAGATTTTAAAAGAGACACAGAACTCTATTTCATTCTCAGCGAGATGAAGATCCCTGCAGAAAACTCAATAGTGTGTTTTATAAACAAGGGAATACCCATAGATATAAACACAAGTTCTCAACTTTCCTCAGAACAGCAAGAGTGAATTAATATATTAATTCGAAAGCAGAAGGTCAATGGACCAGGATTTATGGGTTTCTACTGATTTTTTTATTGTTAATTCACCCTGATTAGATAAATGGATGCCCTAAAATTCTTTAAATGAACAGGAATCCCTCAGGCCACTCATTCTCCAGAATGGTAACAAATAAAAAAGAATCAATGGTAAAAAATTGAGTTTGAAAGTCTGGTCATCCAGTAAAGAAGCTGATATTATTCCCCTAATGTTATGAAACAGCCTCATCTACCCGTTTTCAACATTCTGAACTCAAGTCCCTCATGAGACATCTATGCAAGTCTCTAATTGAAAAAGTCAAGGTAGAGGAACTCGACTCGGCATGGTACTCACCCATTGGCCAAGGCGAGTTACTCTGGCGAATCCAACCAACTTGCTTAAGACTGGCTCAAGTCCCAAAAATAAAAATAATAATAAAAAGAATAATATAAAGCATATAACCTCTTCATCTCTTATATGAAATATAAAATGGCATGTTGGTTAGCTTTGCCGCTCTTTGCATGCCGCTTTGCACTGGGTCCCAGGTTTGATCCTTGCAATGACATTTTTTTGAACTCGTTTTTTTAACTTCTTAAGAAAAGGGCTAGATTTTAAAAAAATGTGAGCGGTGTTTGTGTTTTTTGGGGGGGAGTGGGGGCCTCAATCACCCACCACAATAGCTTCATTTTTGACTTTGTATGTACATAAATATATTAATATATGATATACCTGCATGGATGCACAACACACCTGGGGGAAACTCACCTCACCCTATGGAAGAGGAGAGTGCCCAAGTGAGTTGTACACTATGCATGCATTGGTTATGTATATTAATATGTCAATACTAAGTCAAAAGTGATCAAACCGCACATCGGGTAGCATGCTTGCTTTCTTTTCATCGTGTTGGGTGTTCAACCTCGCCCCCCAACCCCAACCCCATCCCCATCCCCATCCCCATCCCCATCCCATCCCAATCAGCCCTTTTTCTAAGGTGTTAAAAAACCAGGTTCAAAAACATGCCATTGTGTGGATTGAATCTATAACCCATCAGAATGAGGCATAAGCGATGAACCTAACCAAAAGGCCATCTTATGCTTGTTGTAAAGAACGGGGAGGTTATATTTTATATATTTTACTTTCCATCTTTATTTTTATTTTTTTTAACCTCAGGAGGGCCTCGGGCGAGTTAGTCATACTCACCGTAGAAACTTGCCTCGACCAAGGTCCGGGTACCTAGGCCGAGTTGTTCTTCTGTAAACTGCAGGAAAAAGTTCAATTCCTGCATGTATTAGTCACAGATTCAAAAGCTGAAGGCAAACGCTTATTACATATTCCCTCACACTGAAACACAAGGGATCAGTTTGTTTGTTGTTGTGTTTTTTTTTTTGAATTGTTGACTCTGTATTACTGTAAAAGGTAACCACATGGTTGGGGGGCTAGGTGTTCACCCCAGCAGATACTAACTCAAAAATGGTGCTTCCAGCAGCTCAAAGAATCAGATTGTTACCCAATTTTCACACCCTAAACCCAGAGGAACCACAGCAATTAGAAAGTATCCCGTATTTAACAAAATCAAACAGAGCAATTTAATAATCACTGTCAACTGTATCATCATAAGCAATTAAGCTTGAACGGAAATCAGATGAAGGAAGCCCTAATTCTTTTTTAAAAAGTCTCAGACATAAAATTATCAAAGATTTATGAGGAAGTAGCATAAAGCACTACGCTGGATGGAAGCTCTGTATCAAAGGGTCGCATGGAAATCAGGGTTTTGAAAATACAGAGAGAGAGAGAGAAAGAGAGATAACCTTTTCGAGCTCTTTCCTGACCCTCTCCCTCTTTTCCTCCTCAGTCTCCTGATCAATTGCTGCCTCTGCATCTTTGCTCTGCAACTCCTCAGCAAGCTTCTCCAACTCCTTCATCTCCTCGAGCTCCTTCAACCTCTCTCTCATCTTCTTCTCCCAAGACATGTCATCTCCATTGCCTGAATCAAAATCCACCGCGTTGGCCTTGTAATTCCCCTTTCGAGCAAACGAGCAACGAACACTTCTGCAACTCCTTCGCTCCTCCAAAACCCTAATCATGGCTGGTCCAGCGGATGCATCGGTAGACTCCGACCTCTTGATGAGCGGAGCTGCGTCCACCAAGCTACACCTTACCAGGTACTGACTGGCAATCGCCATGGTTCGAAGCTACTTCACAATTCAGCCTCTCTTTCCCACTCTTTTTCTCTCCCTCTCTACTCCTGTAAAACGGAGAAAGGATCGGTTGAAACCCTCGCTCTCAAAATCTAAGGGCCCGGTTTTCTTTGAAGGCCTCTTACTCAAAACCCGGGAAATTTGTAAGGGCCTGGTTTTCTCATGCGTGTACGTGTGCGCCATGACATCAATGGTTGAAGATATTTCAACATTTTTTAAGTGTGATTTTTGAAAATTTCAGAAATAGATTATATATATTGTCTTGGACTGTGAAGGTAAAATGATTTTGGAATTCCACACGAGCATACTAATGGAGAAATACAGAGATTCATATTTTTCCATGTATTACGAAGAGAATCGGTTCATAGTTTGCCTCTCGGTCCAAAGTTACCAAATTAGACCTTCATTATCTTTTGCTTTTTTGTTTTTATCTACCATAGGATTTTGATCTAAGCTTTAAGACTAATGCAGGTTCGATTCCTGAAATACCAAATATCCCTAAAATAGGATCTTCAACGTCAACAAAGATTGGTCAGTCAATCGGTCCAATATTTGTGAAAATATCCCTAAAATAGGATCTTCAGCGTTAACAAAGACTGGTATGGAACCTCATCAGTCAATCGGTCCAATATTTGTGACATCAAATAAGTTAAAAAATTGTATATTTACCGATCCAATACATTTTGGACATCGAATTGCTTTAAATGATTTGCTGCAAATAAAAACACATATCCGTCTATTGATATGAGCATCAAATTAAGTGGAAGGAGCCCCGAAACATTCACGCACTACACCCAAATCGTTTCACAACTCAAAAACAAAAAAAAGAAAAAGAAAGAATAGAATGAAATTGATCATATATTGGTAATATAAAAATAAAAATAAAAATAAAAATAATGACCAACCTTTGCATACTATTTGGAAAATACAGATCAAAAAGGTCAAATTATTATCACAAAAGAGAGTTTTTGGAATTCAATCTCTCTCACGACCAGACGTGTACAAAAAGGCCACGTAATTGAGTTGAAAAGAGAACAAATTCACTGCACCCGTGGTCAAGTCTACCCACCTCACGAAGGTGTACACCCAATCGAGCTGGAGGGAAAGGGACCGGGGTTTCGGGGTGGTAGCACCCTCCACATTAGTGACCATGTTGTAGTTTTCATTTCTATCACTAACGCTCTATTAATACTTTTAAAGAGTTAATTTTTAATTTATTTGAAAATAATTCTTAATTTATTTGAAAAATGAGTAGGTGCTCGTCTTTCTCATTGAATTACCCAAAAATACAAAAAAAACAAACTTATGGAGAAGTGGTTTAGATGTTTAAAAACTATTGATATTGACTATGGGCTTGTTGGTCGGGAATCGACAACACTCAAAATGGACTATCCAATGAAGAAGATATTGGTGTGGTTGTGGCCATGGAGTTTCATATGTACCATATATATATGTATTTTTTAATTAATATTTTTAATTAGGGTACTCTAATAAATATAATATCTTTTTAATATACTAAATATTTTTGGACACTTTTATATTCTAATTAATTAATCAAAAATAAAGTAGAAATTTTTAATTAAAAAAAAAAAATATTAATTATGGTGAAGAATAACATTATGTATGTAAATTGTGAAATCCCTACATGAAACATTAGTTGTTTTTAACGTTACTTGCTTGTAATAGAAAGTCATTACTTGCTTATAGAAATACCTATTCTACGCTCTCTTAATAACAAAAAAAGTCTTCGCTCAAAAAATTCCATATTACAAAACAAATGTAATGAGTGTCCACAAATATGGAGTATATTAATGAAGGGGAATGACGTTGTGAGACCCTCCCACACTCATGTGTGTAGGACCTCAAAGGATCACCATTCAATTTGGCATAAATATCTAAAAAAGTAAAGTCCCGATGAAAACTTTTCAAGAGATATGTGCTAAGTGATCCTTTGAGGTCCTACACACATGGGTGTGGGAGGTCTCATAGGATCATTACTCATTAATAAAATACTCCATGAGAAGTACCCTAATAGATTTATTATTTATTTTTACAAAGACAGGGAGAAATTAACTTTCCTTGGGTGCCTCACAGTGTAATTCTGTTACTTCTTAACCGTTTCAAAAAGAAAAAAAAAAACTAGGGGGCAGAAATTAACAAATGACTTTCCCTCAGCGCCTTACCGTGTAATTCTGTTATTTCTTAATGTAATTTCTTAACTGTTTCAAAATAAATAAATAAATAAAATAAAATAAAACAAACAAACAAGGTCTCCCTTCGCAGGTTGCAGGAGATTTCAATGTCTTCCTTGTAATTGCAAAATTAAATAGGACTTTGCCATTTAGTCTAGCAGTGATTTTACAAATGTATGTTGGATTGCTGCTTATCGATGCTAGTTCTCAAACAGTTCCAGTCTAATAATGGAAGTAGATCCAAGGGGTTTTAGCCAAGAATGGATACTGATTTTTCTTCCTTCTCACCTTTATTCTAGGGGTGACAATGGAGTATGGGTCTAAAAATTGAACCTGATGGGTCAGGTCTGGGTCCGGGTCTCCAGGTCCAACTCAACCAGACCAGACCCGTTGCCACCCCTGGCCTTTGCGCTTCCATCTAAATCGATCATCCATGTAGCCCTCTATAAAGGAGAATACTCCATTTTTCCTTTGCAAAGGCCTTTCAAAATTGAGAAAGCGTTTGGATTTCTGGATATTATCCAGGCCTCCCAGCAAAAACCCATATTTGGTAGCCTTCCTTCGCAGACACAAGGAATGCTTAAAGAAGGAAGTCCTTTCCTTGGGGAGATTGCATAGAATATTGAGGATGCTGAAGCAAATGCGATTGAGAAAAAGAAAGCCATAATGGGTAAGAAGTGGTCACAAGCGCTCTTTTTCCCAAGATTTTGTAACTAAAAAACATATAGTGACCCTTTAGTAAGGCTCAAGTCACTAAAACATGGACATCTCACTACAGGGCTAATTATATAGAATGTGTATATGAGAAAGGTAATTACAGTATTTTATATTTTATGATAATGTGGCTATAGTATAAATATTTGTGATTTATTTATATTTTTATTATCTATCATTTGTCTATACAAGAAGAGTTTGTATATTCATATAATTAATAGACACAAAGAGTCTCTTTAGAGAAATCTGAGACTCTTAACAATTGAAACCCATGTATCCTCATGTGATGTTGACCACCAAAAAGCACTTCGCAATTTTCTTCACTCCCCATTCCTCTTGTGATAACAAGAGGACATGGAACTCCTCAATTACATTCTGATTGAATTCGATCCCTCCCCTTTTCTCGAGATTTGCCACCTTCCCCAACTTCTCATATATGGTTAATTCTCAAGGAGGAATAACCTTCTTGGGTAATTTTTGCCAAATCAACTCTATGAGAAGTTTGGTGTACGTCTTATCTATATATGGTAAGGTGTACACTACTCAGCCGAGTTCCCGCTTCTACTAACCCGATTAAAATAGACTATAACATAAAAGGTGTGGTTTGCATCAGGTTGCAATATTAAACAATCTAATTAAAATGCACCTCTAAATTTTATCATAAATGTAATTTGGATATAATTTTTTTTTAAGATGGCTTGAAAATCTATTTTCATTTCTAATTATCAATTTTTAAACTCTAAAAATAGTCCAAATCAAGTAGATTTATAAACACATGAAAATCTTGAAAATAGATGGCCTAGATAATGTGTTGCGAGATACACTATTTCGCAGACATATAATATCTTTTTTCATTTCATATTCATACATTTCGATGTCGAGATGATCAATTAGAGGGCTTTCCAACATCCAAATAACTTTTTATGATGGATTTTTGAGGTGCACCTTTCATTCTACATTTTAAAGTTGTAACCTTATATAAACCTTTTCTTAAAATAAATGTTAATTAAAATATGTTATTTTAAAATATATATGACTATGGAAAATCTTTTTTATTTTATAGTTTACTAATATATAATTCCTTATAAAATGTAGATGTATAGATATTTCATATATTTTTTGCAAATAAACCTATTTATAATGGCATGCTTTTAATTTGGTATAAACTATTTTATACATAATCGAAATTTGATATCAAAAAATTCAAAAACGTTGAAAGGCGTCATATTTTTGGTCATTTTTTTAAAACATTTATGTAAATTGTTACGGATAATTTCCAATAATAATTTACCTAAAAAATTAAGGAGTTGCTATAATGGCAATATTTTAAGGGTGCGGTTTCTATAAGGTTGCCACCTTAAATAATCCAATTAAGGCACACCTCCAAATGTTATCATAACGGGCATTTTGATGTAAAAAATTCTTAAGATTATCTTAAAATCTATTTTTATATCTAATTATAAAATTTTAAACTCCAAAAATAATTAAAATCAAGTTGATTTATAAATATATGAAAATCTTGAAAATAGACGGTCTAGATAATGTGTTGCAAGATGTACTATTTTTAGGACTCAATATATATATATCTATATATATATGGGTGTAGTTGGCATCCAGATGCATTTGTAGGTGTAGATGTAAGGTGCACCTTCAAATTTTATCATGGTATATAATTTTGATGTAAAATGTTCTTAGGATTATCTCAAACTTATGAGTGGGAGAGCCAAAATGCATTTGAAGTTTCATCTTTCTCTTTGAATCATATTTCACATTTTTTTTAGGTGCTAGATCTTTCTTATTTGCTCTGTCTCTCTCTTGGTGTATGGCAAATGCCTTTACTTATTTATTCAAGTGATATCTGCAGGTAAGTTTTGAGGCCAATAAAGAATAGTCCTAGAGACAAATGCTCAACGTACACCTAGCCAAAGAAGCTTTTGAATACTACCAGTGCCATCAAGAGAGCGAACTACAAGAAATATATGTACTAGATCAATATGGTTTAGAAGACTTATGTAGAATATTTGGATATTTTGTTGTCGCGTTTCACTAGATCTGTGGATGAGGAAGCAATTGGGCATTGTTTCAGATCAAGTTGTAGCTTTGGAGGAGAAGATTGAAGCCATTTGAACTGACTTCGAGCTCAGATTCTCATTGTCATCTTTCTTTTCTTTGCTTGTATTGTGTTTTGTGAATAACCATTGTATATCCTATACAACTTCCAAATATTAATCAAATGGGAATGTTTTGCCACTTGTTTGCTTACTACCAGTACTTC